ATTGCCATTTGGACCAATAAAACTTATATTCTCAACTACACAAATAAACGTAAGAATTTCCAAGAATAATTTATGCAACTAAAAATCACTTTTTAAGTCCCTATTTATTCCCAAACCCAATTTATCCAATCATAACAAAACCTCTTTAAATCACTCATTCAAGCACATGAATTATTCAAAAATTTGAATTTTAAAGCATAAATGTGGGCATAAATATGCACTCATCTCGGCACGACTTCTTCCATCAGCCCAAAAGACACTACAAATTCTATTCCGTTCATCTAATGCAATGTCATAAAAGAACTCGTTATTTATATCTTTCATTGAAGAAAAGTGTCGTAGGAGGGCCTGACCATCACCATCCTTACATAAAGCTCTTAAGTGTTGGCCAATGTAGTTTCTCGCATCCCGCTCGACGAAGTCCATGTTTTCAAAGCCAGCTGCATCGGTTAGAAGGCTAAGGAAACTCTTATTTATCCTAACTCCAGCATCATCATTCAGCTCCAAGGTGTGTTTTGCTTGCATGTTTAATTTTCGATTGGCTGTCAATAGCTTCGAGTTATTCGGGCAAAGATCATGGCTCTGCTCCAAAACAACGGTTCTTATAAATCACTTGTCCTCCTTCCTTGCTATGGTTATCCTTGTAGGACATTGCTTTGTTTGACTTGCAAGTGTTTTGACCTCCCGTTTCACCGAAGACACATATTTCCCTTCCCTTGAACAAACTAATCTCAAGTAGTAGACGTTGTTGTTTTTATCTTTTTTAGAAGTTCTAGTCTGCATGCCAAAGCCACTCAAATACTAACATCAACTGAATAACACTGGATTTTTGACTGAAACTAACAGTTTTTTCGCCAATGATCACCCAAGTGAACGAAGCAGACCACCTTCGTTGAACTTTCTGTACAAAACAGAGATTTCTTGCGCGTAATCGTTTACCACTACCCTGTAAACGATTACCACAAGGTATTTTGAGCTCCAGTACTCCAAACTTGTCTAAGTTGGTCTCCTCACTAAGAAGGACTATACTTCCACACTTCTTGGGGTCACCAAACATCACCTCCCACCCTCTACCCCCACTTTTTCACCAAGATCAACTTTATAGAACCCCAATTGTGTTTGAAACTAACAATTTTTTGCCAATGATCACCCAAGTGAACGCAGCTGACCACATCCGTTGAACTTTCTGTACAAAACAGAGATTTCTCGCGCGTAATCCTTTACCACTACCCTGTAAACGATTACCATAGGGTATTTTGAGCTCCAGTACTCCAAACTTGTCCAAGTTGGTCTCCTCACTAAGAAGGACTACTTCCACACTTCTTGGGGTCACCAAACATCACCTCCCAGCCTCTACCCCCACTTAAACACCAAGATCAACTTTATAGAACCCCAATTGTGTTTGAAACTAATAGTTTTTTGCCAATGATCACCCAAGTGAACGCAGCTGACCACCTCCGTTGAACTTTGTATACAAAACAGAGATTTCTCGCTTGTAATCGTTTACCACTACCCTGTAAACGATTACCATAGGGTATTTTGAGCTCCAGTACTCCAAACTTGTCCAAGTTGGTCTCCTCACTAAGAACGACTACCCTGTGAACTACATTTTTTTTATTTTATTTTAAAATTAAGGAAACTAAATTTATAATTAAATTAATTATATGTTTAGTTTCTAAACTTAAACACAAAATTAGAATTCATCCTTAATTTTGATACTAAACCTTAAACTTTAAAACTAAATAATATAATTTTTCTAATTCAATTGAATTTTTTTTTCTATGTCAAATAGAGTTTCATGATTTGTTTACACTCTTTAATACATTTTACTCTGGATTCATTTTTTAATTTTGTTTAACCTTTTATAATTATACGCTTCTAAAAATATTATTATAAACTATTTAAATAGAAAAATAACTATATAAAATATAGTAAGGTTTAATAGCCAATTTTGTCCCCAGTTTTGTTGAATAATGTCAATTCAGTCCCTTGTTTTAAAAGTGTGTGAAATTAATCCTCACTTAATAAATTTTGCATCAATATTGTCCCTCCTGTTAAATCGCACAAACGACGTTAGCTTTTTCTTTCTCTCTCCTCTGCTCTTCTGAATTCATCTGAACACAAACTCTGAATTCCTCTAAACACATCAGCTTTTTCTACTTTTTAAACACATTTTAAATTTAAAAATCTAATCTTGGTTTTTATTTTCTTCCGACTCCCTATTTCTTTTCTTCTCATGTAGAACCACATTTTATTCTTTCACTTTCACATTTTAAAACCTAGGGTGAAAATTTTTTAAACCCTATGAAATGGCTTTTGGTTCATTGGAATGGGTTGAAGAAACAGGAAGACACGTTGTTCGAAGGGTTGTACCTACTAACTTTGTATTTAACCCCTAAACTGGGATTTAACCTCATCTTCTATTTCACTTATCAATATCATTTTTCCTACTTATCTTAATCTACTCTTTTCTTCAATCTTTACGTTCTAATAATATCATCATATCATTTATTATCCTTTTTAGCTGGTTATTATCCTACTCTACAATGCTTTTATCAAACATTTTTTTGGTTCCTTAAACTTAAGTGTTTTCGAACTAATCTCTATACATCAAATTATACTCAATTCATTCCTTGTGAGTAGATTCTTAGTTTATGTAAGAAACCAGAATAAAGACATATGAAGTACTTGTATGAGTGATGATGTATATGAACCTTCAATTGTATTATTATTGTATATACAACTTATATATAGAATACATAATTCAAGTAATATTCTTGGCCCCTAATAACCATTCACTTCTCTGCATTCCTCTCTTCAAACCCCTCGGGCATCCACTTCTCCTTCTCTTCCTCACTCTCCTCCTTCCTTTTCTTCTCCAACACCACCCATATGAACCCATGACCTGACGCTTCCATCCCGCATGCAATTTCGTAACAAAGGAAGAAAAGCTTACAAGTCACTAGGAGGAACTACACCAGCGTCTGTGGAGTGGCGTAAGCACCAAAAAATGTTGCATTCAAGAACGCGAGAGTGACTAGAATATTTATGTGTTTTGATTGCATTCTTATTATCTTCTTGTTTCTCTTTCATTTTTTGTTGTGGTTGAGAAGGGGTGTGTCTCACTGAATATAGGAGGATATCGGGTTGTGGTTGCATGTGAAAGAAAGTGAGTAAAGGTGTGATTATGTAGAGGGGTAGTGTTGTTGTGTGCATGGGTGTGCTTAATGGAAATGACATAAGAGTGGGGATTACATATGGGTGAGTGTTTCGTTGTAGTGGTAAAAGAGTATATGAGAGAGAGGTTGCAGATTTTCCTTGATTACAGAAGTTGAAGAGGGAAGGTGAAGGTTAGAAAGTAGAAAGGTTCATACATATATGGGAAGGATAATTATGAATTTTTCTTGCAGAGGGGTTTCATGTATATATATATATATATATATATATATATATATATATATATATATATATATATATATATATATATATATATATATATATATATATATATATATATATATATATATATGGGAAGAAGAATTTTAGAATGGTTAGTAGTTTTTGGTGGGACCCGCGGGTTAATGAAAAAGAAATTTAAGAAGAAAGAAGGAGAATAGGAGAGGGGTGCAGGGGCGTATGTTTATTATAGAATGCTTTACTTGTTTATTAAGAGGAGTAATAGAAAGAGTGTAGGGCACAAACGGTGAAGAGGGATTCTCCTCCACGAAGTTCTGGATGGGGTTTGGAGCATGATGGGTTTAAAAACAGAATAAAATGGGTTTAAAAACATTTTATTTACTAAATTTAATGCATATGGATTAAAAATATTAGCGTTAAAGAAACTAAAATATTTTTTAAATAGAGAATCAAAATCAAATTCATTCCAAATTTCTGAGATTAAAAACATCAATTAAACACTTTCTTTCAGACACAAGAGAGATAAAAATAAAAAATATACAATAAAATAAGTAATATAATAGAGTGAAATAGATAAAAAAATATAATAAATGAAAAAAAAGCACTAAAGACCTTGGATATAAAGCAATCATATGGTGATTATTTTTTTTTTCGATATTCAAATGCTAAATGATGAAGAAAAAGTAACTTTTTTAATTGATATTTTCCAAAGGGTGAAGTAATGAAATAATTTACCAACCTATATATAATATACGATATTTTGTATCACTTTATTCAAATGTGTAGAGGAAAAAGTACTGACAAACACAGAAGAGAGAGAAAAAAATTTAACATCGTTTGTAAGTATCTAACGGAAGGGACTTGATTGAGACAAATTTTATCAAGTGAGGATACAATTGACACTTTTTTAAAAGAAGGAACTTAATTGATACAACTCACCCTAACTAGGGACAAAATAAGCTATTAAGCCAATATAGTAATTTATAAAATTAATTATTCACAAAAATAATTCATTATAAAAATATGATACTTATTTAAAAAAATATGTAAATAAGAAAATTTATTAACTATATTAACATACATAAACTTTGAAACAAATTTGTTTGTAAATTTTGTTTGGAAAATTTCACAAAACAAATTTGAAAGAAAATACACTAGTAAAAATTAGGCTTTTTAACTCGCCCAATAGGCTTCGATTTATGGAAAACCGAAGCCTATCAAAACGCGATGACATTGTCGTAATTAAGCCGAACTTATAGGCATCAGTTCCTTCTCATCCAAAGAATAAAGGAGATATGTCCTCGTTAGAAAGGCACCCGAGGTCGAAAGACCTGTCCATCCTCTCTGCAAAACCTGTTATGCTTACCAGTCAGACCTAAGGCATCGGTTGGCCTAGGAACTGTGCTCGTTCGGACCGAAGGCATAGGTTAGCCTAGGAGCCGAGGTCGTTGGTCCTTGATATTTTCTCCCGCACGACCGTTCCTCTTCCATTTCCCTTTTCTTTTTCTTGTTTCTCTTTCTTCTCTATGCTCCAACCTAATGCGCTTCCGCTGCAGCCAGAACACAATAACCACCACCAGGAGATGAGTTTGCGCTCCCGATCTCTATGCTCCTCCTACGAACTTGAACTTGATGGGGATCGCGAGCTCGAGCCTTGCTTAGGCTTTCTCCAACGGGAGAGTTTCTCCATGGAGATAATCGAGAGTATCTCGCCAGAGGATCTTCAGCCAACGGTGGAGATCTGCATCGACGGACTGCATTCTTCGTCGGTGGCGGTGAAGCGATCGGCGGCGGCGAAGCTGAGGTTGTTTGCGAAGAACAGAGCGGACAACCGCGCTTTGATTGGCGAGTCTGGTGCGGTGCCTGCTCTGGTTCCGTTGCTCTGGTGCAGCGATCCGTGGACACAGGAGCACGTGGTCACGGCGTTGCTGAATATGTCTCTTCTGGAGGAGAACAAGGTGCTGATAACTAATGTTGGTGCGGTGAAGTCGCTGATTTACGTGCTTAAAACAGGAACAGAAACTTCGAAGGAGAACGCGGCTTGCGCGCTAATGAGTCTTGCATTGGTGGAGGAGAACAAGATCTCGATCAGTGCTTGCGGGGCGATATCGCTGCTGGTTTCGCTGCTATTGAATGGTTCCCACAAAGGGAAGAAGGACGCACTGACGACACTGTATAAGTTGTGTTCAGTGCGGCAGAACAAAGAGAGGACGGTGAGCGCGGGGGTAGTGAAGCCGCTAGTGGAGCTGGTGGTGCTAAATAGCTTGGCGGGGATTGAGGAGGGAAAAGAGGCGATCATGGAAGAAGTTGGTATTGTTGCGCTTGTGGAGGCGATCGAAGATGGGTCGGTGAAGGGGAAGGATCTGGAATGTCGTTGGAGAATCTAGAATTGAAATTAGAACCGAGGTGTAAAGGTGGCGAAAGAAGAAAAAAAAAGACCCTACTGCCTTTGTTCAAAACTAACTCGGTTCAAAACCAAGACAAAAAGTCTACACTTTTTGCCTCGTCTCAATATGCCTCGGTTTAGGAACCGCTACCTATGGGCGAAAATAACCGCTGTGGTTTCCCCTGACTACACTAGTGATAGTGAAAAAGATTTTATATAATTTAAGTTATTGATATATACGAAATAAATATAATAATTAAAATATTTATAAATATAATAATTATTATTAAAAATAATTATTGAAATAAAAATAATATTTTATAAAGAATATTATTCCCTATTTTTATTGTTATAATTATTTTAAGAATTAGGTGTATGATTATATGTAAATTTTAATTTTGTATAAAAACATTAAAACTTTCACTAAAATATTACTTTAATATAAAATATATTTTTACATTTTTTATTTATATTTATTTAATTCATATTTCTTTTATAAATGTTGTAAGTCTCAGATCGTCTATTTATAGAAATATAAGTGAGTGCAAATCTTACTTTACAAGTCAAGTATTTTAGAAATAAATTAGACTTAAAATGCACTGATTAACATGATATCATAATGTGAATTAGAATTAATCCTTAGGAGGTTTACTTCTTCAAAATAAATAAATAACTATTAATATGCTTTTTCCATTGAATACAAAACTAAATAATTACCCTCTATATGTAATTTTCTAACAAATTAAAATTTCACATTTTTAATTTTTGAATTAATTATTTCTTAGAATAATTATTTTAAATATTTTTTAAATAATTACATTTAATATAACTAGTTTTCTAAATTATTATTTTTTAGTATATTTATGGCTTGATACCTATTTTGGTCCACATATTAGTCACTTTTGTTCAAAGTGGTCCTGAAGTTTTTTTAGTGTTCAAAGTGGTCCTCTTTTTTATAAAATTTGTTCAATTTGGTCATTTTCGCTACCGACATCTAAATCGCTAACGACATAGAGTCCACGTAAGAAAAATTGAATGAGTTGTTTATAGCAACTTCCTTAGCTAGGTTGGGCCAAAACTAGGAGATGTGCATGGAGAGGTGTTTCCTTGGATGGATGGGGCAAAAAAGTGATGATAAATGGTCCAAGGATGATGAGATAAGGTGTGGATGGTGTAGAAGTTCATGACCTCTAGGAGATATGATGGTGATGGTGTAATGTTTCGTGGCTCCAAGAGAGGTAAGGTCAACTCAAGGAGGAAGGTGACTAGAGGGGCCTCCAGGGTTGTCTTAGTCTTGATCTAGAAAGTGTATGGCCACGATTTGACAGCATAACATTACATTAATCTAGATGAAATACAAGGGTGGAGACATCTCTATTTATAGGCTAAGGGTTTCTCCATCTAACCCTAAAAGCATGATATCCCACCTTTGCTCTCATTAGCAAAAAATGAGGTCTTCTAATGAGTGGACAAGTGCCCACAAATCCTCTCCAATGATGAGAGGACATGTGACCACTCACAAAACACAATCATCTTCATTCCTAGAGTGTCATGTGGCCACTACTAAAAGAAAATCATCTCCAATGGTGGAGGGACATGTAGCCACTACTAAAAAGAAATCTTCTCCACTCCTACGGTGTCATGTGGCCACTTCTAAAAAGTAAGTCCTTTCCAATGAAAGCATGGCACATGGCACACACTTTCCACCTGGTTTGGACGTCTAACTTAAGGAAAAATCATATGCTACTTAGGCCTTAATATAAGCCATAAACAAACCTACACTACATGGTTGAATGACCTAGATATCCTACACTACTCTTCAATTCATGCTTCATGATGGCTCCAAAGGTAGCCCACAATGTAGAGTTGATGTCATCTTCATGGATTGCTTATACTCTCTTGAAAGTGCTTGACCATGGCTAGGGGATTTGCCATCATTCCCTCCCTCTTGAAAAGGATTTTCCCTCAAATCTTCAACATGGAACAAGGAAAACTTCCTTATCTTCTTTTGAGTTTTGTACGCTTCTCTACCAGGGTCAAATACCCATTTTATAACACAAGTTAAAACAAATGTTATAATAGTAAGTAAATGAAGAATATAGCTCTCAACAATGATACACCTTAAATCAAATGAATGATCAAGGTCTTGGAAAGTAAGAGCATCTTTGAAACTTTTATTTGTCTTGAGTTGGATGTATATGTTTGAAAGACTATCCATTCCAACACAAGAGTTATTTTTTAGGGATATGCCATTGATAACGGTTGAATTTACTGTTATTTGATACTTAATTTTGATATTAAAAACAACCTTTTTTGACTTAGAAACTAGCTTGAAATCATAGTTTTGTGTGAATAAGAGAGTTGAAGGTGAATTTAATTATTCTATGCTAGATTTCCTTGTTTTCAACAGGAATTGAGATGATTTGGAAGAAAAGTTCAAGTAGTAAGGAGTTGGAACTTAGGAAGAGCTGGAAAAGCATCACAAAGGAGGAGCGCAACAACGTTGAGCGGCATTTTAAGGGCCCTCAATGCCAGATTACACTGTCTACTGCTTGGCTGCCCTTTTTTTGGAACCCTTAGAGCAGGAAGTCCCTGTCTCGCACCTGGGCACCCTTTTTGGGGTGCTGAGCGCCACATCTTTGAGTCGCATCACGCTTGCTTGCCTTTTGAGCTGACCCTGAGCGTCATATGATCTCGTACGCTGCCCGGGCGCCTTAAGATGGGTGCTAAGCACCAGTTTCGTGGGCTTGGACCCCTTTTTTGTTATTTTTATGTTCTATTTAAGGACTTGGACGTCCTAGGGATTGTATCTTTGGACGGAATAGGCACAAAAACACACTCTTTGGATGCTGAAGCTCCTATCTTCAACTTCTAGGGTTTTATCTTTCATTCTTTTTCCATTATTCATCTAGTTTCACCATGCCAATGGTGAACTAAACTCTATTTATTGTTGGGGAATGATGTAAACCTTTGTAAACTCTCATGTATTGAATTGATTCTTGATTATATATGTTTCTTTCATTAATTGTTAGGGTTATTCTTCTTCGCTCATTGCTTGCTTTGTTTAACTCATTCATTAGCATGATGTATGATTTGCATGATTACCAGAAGGTATCTTACAATTCAGGTTCTGGAGAATTATTCCCATAAGCAGTATTGCTCAGGAATAGGGGTATGAGTTCTAGTTGTCTTAAGCTTTTGTTAGTAAGAATTAATTATTAGGGATGATGAAAGATGTTATGATCTATAATTAAGGATAAACTTTCTTCGCCGAGGAATCAAGTTTTAAGTATTTTAAATAGTGACATTGACATTAATGAAGAAGTAGAGTTCCTATATACATGAGAGTAAACTAGGTGAAATCTAACCCCAACAACATATTCATTCCATAATATCAAATGCGTTGTTGACTTTGAGGGGTTTCTCAAAGGGTGTAGACAGTAGTAGAGGGGACATCTTGTTGTTGGTCTTTTTGTTGTATGCCTATATTTTGATTAGAGGCACTACAAGAATCGCGCTTATTACTGGCAGAACATTATCGAAAGATTTTTGGCCATCGGTAAAACTGAATTACCGAAGGCCTTGGAAAGCATTACCGAAGGTGTGTGTTGATTTAATTTAGCGAGGGTGTATGGCCGTCGATAAGTGGCCTGACTTAAGCATTTGGGCGTATTGGAGGAGTTTGTCTCCAATTTCGTGACACTCGAATCCGTATTGGTGCCCCAATTAGAAATTTCCCTCTCGTCCTTTGCTTCCATTCTCGCCCTCTCCCTTTTCGTTTATCTCCCTCTCCCTTGGCGTTTATCCGTACTGGCGGTCGTTGGCATTGTGTGCCGATATCGTTGACAGCATAACCTTAGTGGGTGGTTGGGGTTGTTTGTTTGGTTAGGGTTCTTCGAAACGTTGTCGGTGTTGCGACTAGGGTGGTGGTTCGTGGTGTGCGCTTCAGGCTGTTGCGGCGACAGGGGTGCTGATTCGTGGTTATTAGTGTGT